CAACTTGCTTTCACATGGTGTTTAATCACCTTGGTCTCCACGAATATTGAGATGAAGAATTTGCATCATTCACATGAATGGGATTGTTATAGGATTTGATGGGGACTGTTATATATTTTAAAAATTATTTGTGCACCTTTATTTGGTGTTTGGTTCACATATTTTGCACTTTTATGTAATTTACTTTACATGACTTGATTCTTAGTGGTATATTAATTTGATTATTTTAAAATTTATATGTTTGTTCACATAGTTTAGCATTTATTTAGCGCAACACTGGGTATTTATTGATTTGCTGATTGGAGAGGATATCATCTTTTTGTATTTGCGTTTTTTCTTGTTCAAACATTTTATTGTTTTTCAAAGGCAAAGAAAGACAGGTTTAGGACAATCCATATACGTATACAGATATAAATGAGAACAGGCAAAAATGTTGTCCTATAGAAATGGGGGGTAAACATATAAAACCATGTTACATGGAACCACAGAAAAACATGGAGAGATACAAAGTTATAAAGGAAGGCAGGATCCGGATATGCATCAGATAGGGGGCTCTGCTCCCAGTAACCATATGAGGGTTCCATATGAGGCAGTAAAAATGGGACAAGAGGGAGTAGGATGGGGGGGGAGGTAGAGAGACTGAAGAAGGAATAGAAGAAGGGAAAAGAGAACGTGTGACTTCTAGGAGGGAGTAAAGACTCTCAAGACCATATCAATGTACAGCATGACATATTGGATAGCCACAATTGGGGATTAGGAAATGTCAAGGAAGAAGCAATGAATCGGCAATGTTCGGTGGAAGGAAACATTTGCTTTAGTTTTTTTATTCATACTATTGCATGTTTTTTTTAATTTCATAGTTACATTGTCTGGCTGAAAAAAGACAAAAGTCCATCCAGTTCAACCAAAACTTAGCTTGTATTTTTGCCCAAGTCTCCCCTTGTTCGCCCTGCAGCCAGGTACACACGGGCAGCGTACAGAAGAATCGGGGTCTCTCTTTCTGATTTCACAAAGATGATGCATCAGAAAATGCGCACAAACGTGATGCATCAGAAAATGCGCACAAGCGTGATGTATCAGAAAATGCGCACAAACGTGATGCATCAGAAAATGTGCACAAACGTGATGTATCAGAAAACACGCACAAACGTGATGTATCAGAAAATGCGCACAAACATGATGCATCAGAAAACACATACGAATGTGATGCATCAGAAAACGCACACGAACGTGATGCATCAGAAAACGCACACGAACATGACATATGCGCACAAATGTGATGTATCAGAAAATGCGCACAAATGTGATGCATCAGAAAATGCGCACAAACGTGATGCATCAGAAAAAGTGCACGAGCGTGATGCATCAAAAAATGCGTACAAATGTGAAGCATCAGAAAACGCACACAAACATGATGTATCAGAAAATGCGCACAAACGTGATGCATCAGAAAATGCGCACAAACGCGATGCATCAGAAAATGCGCACAAACGTGATGCATCAGAAAACGTGCACAAACTTGATGTATCAGAAAATGCGCACAAATGTGATGCATCAGAAAACGCGCACAAACGTGATGCATCAGAAAACGCACACAAAAATGCGTGATGCATCAGAAAACGCACACAAACGTGATGTATCAGAGTGGGAACTGGACAACTCCATTCACCCCACGCAGGTATAATTGGAATGTGCATGTTTACATGCGTCCCATGCAGCTTCTATTCTCGCCAGCCTCTGGATGTGGTGTGACGAAGCGGGATGACTGCAGTGCCAATCACAGCGCAGTGCACTTTTCCGTGTTTTTAAAACAAACCTTATTGAAATGTCACACTGTGACATTAAGTTTTATTGTAAGGCTCTGCGCTGGAAAAAAATAAGGCCGGCTGTACTTTTTTGTAGTGTGCACAACCACGATAATGTGGTGTAAACCAGCCATGTAGGCAGGGCTGGTGCTTCCACTAGGCAAACTAGGCAGCCGCCTAGGGCACACTGCCACCTAGGGGCACCTGGGCACAGCACAGGCTAGCACTCTCTGTGTGTGGGATGCCACCACACCATGAATGATTCTTCAGCTGAGGGGAGGGGCAGCAGAGTGGAGGAAGAAAGGACAAAGGAAGATGCCTAGTGTCTGGAGCCAGTGCAGCAGCTGAGCTGCCGATCCTTCCAGTGTTCCACTCAGACTCAGTCCCTTATTGCAAGCCGGCTGGCTGCTGCTGATCACTGTGGAGTTCCAGCCCTTCTCTTCCCATTCATCAGTGGAGGCGGAGCTGTGCCTATGGGAGAAGGTGTTGTTTGACTCTGATGTCTCGTGTCTGCGTGAGTGTGACCTGTCATCCAGACATCCATCACATGTGCAATGTGTCAGTGAGTGATGACATCATCACGATCCCACAGCCTGCTCTTCTAGTGCCTGCTGGGCTTGCTGATCTGTGTCAGTGTAACGGAACCGAACCCCGACTGCACTAGGGTATTTCCGTTAGACTCCCGCTTCCTGTCCGAAATCAAATCCATGGACACCACCGCCGATCATGCAGGAGGAAATAAGACAGGTCCAGATTCTTTCTTAAGACAGGAAGGCAACTGCTTTATTTTAACAAAAAATATATACATTCAAGGGAACAACCCACTTCCCTGCATATGGACACAGGGCGGGGCAAACCAAATCTAGCAACCAGAGACATCAGCAGACACCCCCCACCAAACCAATACACAAACACATACAACCCATAATAGTTTGCTTCCAAGCCAGACACACAATAGAACAATGGGACAACCAGGGGCGGACTGACAACTCATGGGGCCCCCGGGTAATAGGGGATCATGGGGCCCCTGTGTCCTTGCCTAAACTCAAAAACGCCTATGAAAAAGGTACTAAGGGTATCTCATGGGGCCCCCTACTGAGCCCGGGCATTCGGGCAGTGCCCGAGTTTCCAAATGGTCAGTCTGCCCCTGGGGACAACCACATGGCATTAAACAATGAACAACCCCCACACCCCACCAAACCAAAACACACAATATTAGGACAGATCACCCTGCACCCCTAACAGGCACAGGGTGCCTACACATAAGAGAAACATGAGGAGCCTCACCCCCAAAAGTCACTCCCGTCACAGTCAGTGTTGGTGTGTTGTGTCGAATCTGTCACTGTGTGGGATCGCTCAGTTCAGCTGCCTGCTGTCCCAGCGTTTTATCTCCCCCCATTGCCTGGAGAATTCCAGCCTGGGATCTGTCAGAGTGTGGATCCATCATCTTCCACTCACTGCAGCTGTCGCCCTGCCACTGCCAGCCACAGATACAGTCCATCCATGACACTGATTGTGTCTTTAATATTGGTATTGGTGGCATCTTATGGCACTTATTTTTGCAAATTAACCACCTGCCCTCCTGAGGATTTCCCCCCCTTCCTGACCAGGCCATTTTTTGCGTTACGGCGCTGCATTACTTTGACAACTGCACGGTCATGCAACGCTGCACCCAAATGAAATTTATGTCCTTTTTTCCCACGAATTGAGCTTTCTTTTGGTGGTATTTGCTCGCATGCGCGCTATCAGCAAAAAATGACCGACAATTTTCAGAAAAAAAACAATATTTTGGACTTTTTGCTATTAAACATGTCCAGTAAAAAAAATTAGAAAATCAAATTTCATCATAAATTTCGGCCAAAATGTATTCTGCTCCATGTCTTTGCTAAACAACTCCCAATACGTGTAAATTAATTGGTTTACGTGAAAGTTATAGCGTTAACAAATGGCGGTATAGATACTGGGATTTTTTTCTCTACTACTAATTGCAGTGATTCTGACACTGGGGGGGAACTAACTTGGTATCACTGACACCCCCAGTAACACCAATACAATGATCAGTGCTAAAAAAAAAAGCACTGACACTGTACTGATGACACTGGGCAGGAAGGGGTTAATGTGAAGGGCGATCAAAGGGTTAACTGTGTGCTGTGTGTGTTTTACTAGGGGGTGGGGGTGTGTGCTTCACTATAAGCACACTGATCGGGATGGCTGTACTGAGCTGACAGGGAGGAAGATTGTTTGTAAACAAAACAATCTTCCTCCCTGTTGGAGATGCTCAATAATTACCGGGCGTCAGCAAGTAATTAGCGTCCAGGACCCGGGGATTGGCATCCGCGACCGCAAATGGCAGCATGGGTACGCGCATGCGCAGCTCATGCACGCCCCCTACTCATAAATTCTAAATCACGTATATATACGTGATTCTGTGCACAAATGCCTCCCTGTAGCGGTATATCTGCTATATGGCAGTCCTTAAGCGGTTAAAAGAAAATTTAGCAGTTTAATGTTTTGTTGATTTAATATTTTGTACTGTTTTAAGAAAACATTTTTTTTTTGGGGGGGGGGAGCTGCAAGTAGCTGGTCTTGCCTAGGACGCAGAATCATCTAGCACCAGGCCTGCATGTAGGAGACAAAGCATTGTGTCATCCCTTGCGGTGGGACTGTGCTGGAATAGCCGCCCAAAATGGGCTGCCCTACGTGTGAGAGACACAGTCCTTGACCCTTCTGCTAAATCCTGCATGCGTGGAGAGATGTGTGGGTGGCACGGCTGCGCATCTGCTAAAGTGCGGTTTGTGAAAGTGCGCCATTTTGTATGCTTTCCCAACACACACACACAGCACGTGAATGTAGCCTAACAACTGCTGAGCTGTGATACATTGCAATGTTTTGCTCTTGGGTTTAGATAAACTTTATTGAAGAAGAAGGAAAGAACATGACACTCAGAACTCCTTAGCAATGCATTTCCCTACAACTGCAGGCTTGGTCGTTTCTACAGTCCCTCGCCAGGTGGCGCTCCAGCGCAGCGGGTCCCGTTCGGCAGAGCGCCCATCTCTATAGTGCAAAGTGCGGCCCTGGTAACAGCTGCCTGACTACCGGTTGCCATGGAGACGGGACGCGGCCTGGCAAGGGTGCTGTATATGTGAAGGGAGAGAAGAGAGCTGGTCACCGTGATGATTCCGGGGAGAGAGGGTCTCTGATACCGCCAGCATGTCAGATATTATCTGCCAGTGGCTCAACGACGAGCTGGGGCTGTCCAGGCGTGTGGGTGAGTGATCTGCATGGAGTGTGTACAAAGCAACACTGGCTGCATGCTGGATGACAGATAGATCTGTCCCTGGAAATAGGGACCAATGACACAATACAATCTAGCTTCCATCATATATATTGCAAATACCTATAGACCATAGGTGTGCCCCCCCCCTCTAAAAAATTATCACACGCACTTCAAAAAATTATAGGAACACTTTTTAATCAGAGTACAGCATCAAGTCAATGACACTCCTGGGATATTGATCTGGTCAGTTAAGTAGCAGAGGGGTTGTTAATCAGTTTCAGCTTATTTGGTATTAATGAAATTAACAACAGGTTCACTAGTTGGGCAACAATGAGACAACCCCCAAAACAGGAATGGCTTTACAAGTGGAGACCACTGACATTTTTGTAACATCGTTCAGCAAGACCGTTTTGGTGGTGGGTCAGTGATGGTCTGGGGAGGCATATCCAAGGAGGGACGCACAGACATCTACAGGCTAGAAAATGGCACCCTGACTGCCATTAGATATCGGGATGAAATCCTTGGACCCATTGTCAGACCCTACGCTGGTGCAGTGGGTCCTGGGTTCCTCCTGGTGCACTACAATGCCTGGCCTCATGTGGCGTGAGTATGTAAGCAGTTCCTGGAGGATGAAGGAATTGATACTACTGAATGGCCCCCACGCTCGCCTGACCAAAATCCAATAGAACACCTCTGGGATATCATGTTTCCGTCCATCCAATGCCGTCAGGTTGCACCTCAGACTGTCCAGAAGCTCAGTGACACCCTGGTCCAGATCTGGGAGGAAATCCCCCAGGACACCATCCGTCGTCTCATTAGGAGCATGCCCCGACATTGTCAGTCATGCATACAAGCACGTGGGGGCCATACAAACTACTGAGTACCATTTTGAGTTGCTGCAATGAAATTTCAGCAAAATGCACTAGCCTGCTGCATAATTTTTTCACTTTGATTTTCGGGGTGTCTTTGAATTCAGTCCTTTGTTTCTATTATAAAATTTTGCAAACAGGTAATTTTTCTCCTTCACTGATGTGCGTTGATGAGGCTGCACTAATAGGCGGCACTGATAAGGTGGCACGGATAGGCAGCATTGATAGGTGGCATTGTTGAGCTGACACTGATGATGCTGCAATGATGGGCACTGATGGGCAGCACTGATAGGTGACACTGCGGGGAACTGATTGGTGGCACTGATGGGCGACACTGGGCACTGGTGGGTGGCACTGCAGGGCACAGGTGGGTGGCACTAGGCACTGCTGGGCACAGGTGGGTGGCACTGCTGGGCACAGGTGGGCGGCACTGCTGGGCACAGGTGGGCGGCACTGCTGGGTGGCACTGCTGGGCACTGATCATCAGTGCCCTGATGATCGGTGCCGATCTGTCCTCTGGCAATTGCCAGTTATCGGCAGTACTTTCGTTACACTGTGACAGCGTGAGGAAAGTGCAGCCGATAACTGGCAACTGCAATTACCAGTGATCTGCTGTGTCATTGGACACAGCTGATCACGTGGTAAAAGGCCGCTGTGATTGGCCTTTTACCACATCATGTTATCACCTGTGTCTGTAGGACACAGCGATCACAGAGATCGCCAGGTGCACACCCCCGGGGGCGTACGGGAAGGTGCGTTCTGGGAGGACGTCATATGAAGCCATCATTCGTCCGCGGTGAAGCCATCATTTGGCTATCGGCAAGTGATTAATGTCTAAACCGCTGCCAACAAAAGTGAGTACACCCAAGGGGTGTAGAAATTTTTGAAAAAACTACTTGTCCGGGGACTAAATCGTTGTCCCAATCTACTTGTCCTGATAAAAAAACAAATTTTAACCAAAACTTTATTTAAATAAATTTTAAGTAATTTCTGGGGCTTTTAAAAACAAAAGGGGTTTTGTATTAAATGTTTAATATTTTTAGCATCGCGCTGTATATCTCATCCTCCCCTTGCAGTGTAGTGAGCACCGACTGGCTGCTTGTCAGGAAAGGGGAGTGTCCGGCTTATCCTTTACCCATTTTGCTGCCAAAGCTGTTTTTGCATTATTTGCACACGTTTAAAAAATCGTTTTAGGGCTGAAGATTACACAAACCCCCAAAAATTATATATTTTGTGAAATCAGAGATCCTAGAGAATAAAATAGTGGTAGTTCCAATTTTTTATGTCACATGATATTATCACAAAAGTCTAGGAAACACAAAATTTCAGTAAATAATACACTTAAGTTAATTTTAGGGCACATAAAGCAATATATTATCCAATTTTTTTGAAAAATATAAAAGACGAGGTTGCATCGAGTAAATAGATATCCAACATGTCAAACCTTAAATTTGCATACACTTGTGAAACGGCAACAAACTTTAGTACCCTATATTTTCTATAGGCGACACTTTTAAAGCCCCTTATAAGTCATCAGTATAGTGTATGGAGGAGGTCTGGTGCTAGAATAATTGCTCTCATTCTGACATGCGCGGCGATATGTAACGTGTATCTCAATCCACGTTTTCATGTGTAGGCACCCGATGATGTGTTTTTACGTTTGTGCATGCGTACATATGTGGGGGTGGGGGCCCTAAAAATGTTGGGGGTATTATATGATTGTGTGTAACTTCCATTTAAAAAAAAAATCTTTTTTTTTTTTTAAATCACATATGGGACAAAAAGTGTGAATGAGGAGCAGATGTGTTAAATTTGGTGTTATCGCTCTCACTCTCTCATACTGGTCACTGGAATTTTAACATGGCACCTCATGGCAAAGAACCCTCTGAGGACCTGAAAAAAAGAATTGTTGCTCTACATAAAGATGGCCTAGGGTATAAGAAGATTGCCAAGACCCTGAAACTGAGGTGCAGCATGGTGGTCAAGACCATACAGCGGTTTAACAGGACAGGTTCCACTCAGAACAGGCCTCGCCATGGACGACCAAAGGAGTTGAGTGCAAATGCTCAGCGTCATATCCAGAGGTTGTCTTTGGAAAATAGATGTATGAGTGCTGCCAGCATTGATGCAAAGGTAAAGAAGTGGGGGGTCAGCCTATCAGTGCTCAGACCATACGCCGCACACTGCATCAAATTGGTCAACATGGCTGTCGCCCCAGAAGGAAGCCCCTTCTAAAGATGATGCACTAGAAAGCCCGCAAACAGTTTGCTGAAGACAAGCAGACTAAGGACATGGATTACTGGAACCATGTCCTGTGGTCTGATGACACCAAGATAAACTGATTTGGTTCAGATGGTGTCAAGCGTGTGTGGTGGCAACCAGGTGAGGAGTACAAAGACAAGTGTGTCTTGCCTACAGTCAATCATGGTGGTGGGAGTGTCATGGTCTGGGGCTGCATGAGTGCTGCCGGCACTGGGGAGCTACAGTTCATTGAGGGAACCATGAAATCCAAAATGTCCTGTGACATACTGAAGCAGAGCATGATACCCTCCCTTTGGAGACTTTACCCCAAACACACCTCCAAGACCACTGCCTTGCTAAAGAAGCTGAGGGTAAAGGTGATGGACTGGTCAAGCATGTCTCCAGACCTAAACCCTAATGAGCATCTGTGGGGCATCCTCAAATGGAAGTTGGAGGAGCGCAAGGTCTCTAACATCCACCAGCTCTGTGATGTCATCATGGAGGAGTAGAAGAGGACTCCAGTTGGAACCTGTGAAGCTCTGGTGAACTCCATGCCCAACAGGGTTAAGGCAGTGCTGGAAAATTATGGTGGCCACACAAAATATTGACACTTTGGGCCCAATTTGGACATTGTCACTTAGGGGTGTACTCACTTTTGTTGCCAGCGGTTTAGACATTAATGGCTGTGTGCTGAATTATTTTGAGGGGACAGCAAATTTACACTGTTATACAAGCTGTACACTTACTACGTCACATTGTAGCAAAGTGCTATTTCTCCAGTGTTGTCACATGAAAAGATAGAATAAAATATTTACAAAAATGTGAGGGGTGTACTCACTTCTGTGAGATACTGTATACACACACCACACACACTATTGCCAAAAGTATTGGGCCAGCCCTCCAAATCATTGGATTCAGGTGTTCTAATCACCTCCATGGCCACAGATGTATACAATCAAGCACCTAGGCATGCAGACTGCTTCTACAAACATTTGTGAAAGAATGGGTCGCTCTCAGGAGCTCAGTGAATTCAAGCATGATATTGTGATGGGTTAAATATTCCACGATCAACTGTTAGTGGTATTATAACAATAAGTGGAAGCAACTGGGAACAACAGCAATGTAAAATGACAGAGTGGGGTCAGTGCATGCTGAAGAGCACAGAGCGCAGACGTTGCCAACTGTCTGCAGAGTCAATAGCTAAAGACCTCCAAACTTCATGTGGCCTTCAGATTAGCACAACAGTGCATAGAGAGATTCATGGAATGGGTTTCCATGCCCGAGTAGCTGCATCCAAGCCTTACATCACCAAGTGCAATGCAAAGCATCAGATGCAGTGGTGTAGAGCACACCACCACTGGACTCTAGAGCAGTGGAGACATGTTCTCTGGAGTGACGAATCACGCTTCTCTGTCTATCTGGGTTTGGTGGTTCCCAGGAGAACGGTACTTGCCTGAGTACATTGTGCCATGTGCAAAGTTTGGTGGAGGGGGGATTATGGTGTGGGGTTGTCTTTCAGTTGTTGGGCTTGGCCCCTTAGTTCCAGTCAAGGGAACTCTTAATGTGTCAGCATACCAAGACATTTTGGCCAATTTCATGCTCCCAACTTTGTGGGAACAGTTTGGAGATGGCCCCTTCCTGTTCCAACATGACTGCGCACCAGTGCACAAAGCAAGGGCCATAAAGACATGGATGAGCGAGTTTGGGGTGGAAGAACTTGACTGGCCTACATAGAGTCCTGACCTCAACCCGATAGAACACCTTTGGGATGAATTAGAGTGGAGACTGCGAGCCAGGCCTTCTCATCCGACATCAGTGCCTGACCTCACAAATGCGCTTCTTGAAGAATGGTCAAACATTCCCATAGACACCCTCCTAGAC